TTAGGTAACCAATTATGCGACCACGCCTCAAGAGCATATAGACAACTTCTACGAAGGCTCGAGCTCTGCCTAGAAAATGCGGGAATGCTTCTGAAATTTGTCGATTTGAGGACAGAATGGCAGAGTAGAGTCGACAGCGGACGTTGAGTCAGCAACAGCGCGGAGTCAACATGGAATAGGCCAGTCGCCATGGTTATAAATTTGTAATAAATTAGTTGCTACGAATTAATGTGAGAGTAATAAATCAGACTTTAAATAGTTAAGATGGTAGATATCCCTCAATTAAGAAAATGATCAGGTTTATCAAAATTATTCGGAAATATATAATAAGGAAACTAAAACATTCTAGTTAAAGGCACCTAATCATTATGGAAGATTTTTGTTGATCAACATCCTTGACAAACGATTTTTGCTACTATGAGTGTTTGCATTAAGTTTAGTAGTTTATGATCAACTGATGCACACTAAATACAAAAACTGAAAAATTACGGGTACTATTACTTGTTAACTTGGTCCTTGGCACAAAAAAATCTTTCGTGAACCAAGGTAAAAACAGTAGGGAAAACGAAACTTCACTGAATCAGTGTTTGAGGAATATAAAAAAAAATGAAGCAATGTGTTTAAAATCCGAAAAGCATGAGAAATAAGACAAAAATGAATAGAGGGTTTACAAGTGTACTCATGGATAACTTTGCTTTATTCTTAGTGTGGTAAATTCTACGATGAGCCTTTTTTAATAATAATGTTTATTGATCCAGTTACAAAGTTTTCTTATAAATAATAACGGCAATATCCAATAAACATAATATACCCAAAAAAGTGTACACTTGTGCTTGGGTTTTAACCGAAGTTGAGTTATATTAATACAACAAATTTTCTTCAAGTATACTAGTCAAATGTATAAATTTGCATCATTTTATGATCAAATAACATATAGGTTTTTAGTGTCACCAAACTTATGGATTTGCAGCCTTGGTTGATTTAGGATCCATGGTTATAATTCAATATTTAAACGTTTCTTACATTTCATATGCTTAAAGCTTGCAGGAATAACATTATAAAATTTTGTGCATAGAAAATAGAATGATCTTTGGCTGATAGTTTTATTTAGTCTAGGAATTAGTGCAGAGGTTTACTTGAATCGCGTTTGATCGTTGTGGCTGACAGAAAGCAACAATTTTGGATTTTTTATTAAATATGTTATTGTATGATAAAAATAAATTTGCCGGCAGTCGAAAAGCTGAGATTTATTGATGAAGATTTTTTTTTTCAACATAACTTTCTAAATCCACTACTGCGTAATTTCAATCCTTTTAAAATAATTATTCATGACTCCCCCATGCTAAGATTCCGTAAGATATTAATGATTGAACAAGGGCATGATATGTTCTGTGTAGATATTTTTCGCTTAAAAAACTGCTGAAATATTTGACTTTCGGAATAAGGTATCTTAATTTTCTTACTAAATTTTCAGAAAGTCTATTCCATCTAAGATAGTTATCTATGAATACCCCTAGGTATTTGAAATGATCAACCGATTGTATGTTTCTACAGCTATTCAAAGTTTTAATTTGGAGTTGATTAAAATTTGTGGAAGATCTGTTGTCGCAAGAAAATGTAATAAAGTATGTTTTGTTGAAATTGACTGTTAAAATCCTTTCCGTGATAAAATTTGTAACCTTTTGAAAATCTAATACAATTTTGTTTTTTGAAAAAGTGAGTAAATAATTGCCGTATCGTCTGCGAAACCAATAAATTCTCCATCGTTTTTTAACTTAAAAAGGTCATTAATATATAAATTAAACAGCATTGGTCCTACTACGGTTCCCTGTGGAGCTCCGCATCCAGCAATCATATTTTCACTCAGTGCACTGTTGATGTTCACACATTGTGTCCTGTTTTGCAAATAACTTTTCATGAGTTGATAAGTGACTCCACGAAATCCTAAAATTTCCAAGGTTCTGAATTTTTGATGCGTAATACTATCGAATGCTTTGGTTAGGTCTACAAAAGGGCATGCTGTTGACTTATTATTATCAACGTACTTGTAAATTTTGGCCGTTAACTGAATAAGTGCATCTTGAGTTGATTTTCCTTCCTGGAATCCATATTGCTCTTCCGGTATTTGGCAATGAAATCTGTAAAGCGTGTTTTAAGAATTTTTTCGAAAATTTTTGAAAAGTTTGTCAATACTGAAATTGGGCGATAATTACAAGGTTTCTGTTTATCTCCAGATTTAAATACAGGTTTTATTGTTGCCTTTTTTAATTGGGTCGAAAACATTCCTCTTTCCATGCAGATGTTTATAAGATATGCTAATACTTTAGAAATTTTATAATTTATTTGTTTCAGTGAGTATGCGGTTATATTATCAAATCCCGGTGATTTCTTAACTTTCAGTCGCTTTATGATATGTTCAATTTCCTATTAATCGGTATGTGTCAGATACAGGGAATTTTGCAATATGGTTCTCGTATATATAAGTTGTGTTTCATTTGAAATATCTTTTGCCAGATTCTCACCAATTTCAGAAAAATATTTACAAAATTATTGCCTGTTTCAATATCGCATTTTGTAAATCCTCCATTTTCTTTTTGTACAGCAGGAATTCGTTGGCATTTGTGAGAATGTTGCATTTTTTCTATGAACTGCCACGAATCCACATTTCAAAATATGCTGAAACTCCTTCATAAATTCAAATCATTTAGGTAAATGACTTAGCGACGTATATTATGTATACCGTTACCATACATCCCTTTAACATGATTACGCCCTTCTGACCGAAACCGTGTAATGGAAATTATTTCCTGACTGGGAAAACAAAGGGACGCTTTTAAGCGCAGTGAGAGCGAGGCAAATGGTGGTTGGATGTAGTCGAAAACTTTGCTACCGGCGCTCGGGGTTGAGGGGTAAAGCACTTTCCCGTGATGACGCCAACCCGAAACGTCATGTCATTACCACCGCTGTCGTTATCTTGATCGCCGCCGAACGAAAATGGCGACGTCTGAGGTAACCATAGGTTGGCTTTGTTTTGAATTTCCTGTTAGTTTCTCTAAGCTCACGCTTTGACTAAGTGTCCAGGCAGAGACTTACGTTCGTAGGAGACACCTTTCGACTCGTTTTTTTACTCTCTGCACCACTAGCAAAGACGTATTGTTCTCGGAAAAATATTTATTTCTGGATATTATATGTCATCTACATCACGGGCTGTCTGTCGGTCTGCTTCTCGGCCTGTCTGTCATTCTGTCGGTTTGTCTGTCTGTCGGTCTGTCCGCTAATCATTTGTCCATCTATATATACGTTGGGAAGCACCGTTTGAATTTTGATAAATTATTAAGCAAAGTTACTACTACTCCAAGGATGAAATACCTTTTTTGTTTTTGAAAATCGATCCGGTGGTGGCGGACCTAAAAACAATGAACCGACGATCTGAATGCTCAATATCCCGGATTCTGTTGATATTTTCATCGGTTCTTGATGATGAAGGCCTCCCGCTTCGTGGTTCATCTTCAATCGACTCTCTCCTGAAAATACCTTAAACCACCGAAAAACCTGGGCTCTTGACAAAACACTATCTAGATTGTAACGTTATCCAATGGGTGCTGATTATAGACTGATTGGATCACTTGTTCCATTTAGTTTTTTTTAAATGCATGTTATATGCCCTTAGTAACTACGCAGTTATTAAGTAAGCTTACATTGCCGCACTAGACGCTGCGTTAGCATAAGATAACAACTTCTCGCTAATCAGTTGTTTGCCTCGTGTCTCTATTTTCTATGGATCTATTGTTTGTCCAATGTCCATTGTGTATTTTCTGCTGATCCTTAGTCAGCACCTTAAACTGTATAAATAGGTCTGCAGACATTTGTTCGTACAATACCCGGCTAGACACCGTAACTGCCATTCATGTAAACGTCGTGTTCAATACCCGGTTAGACTCCGTAATAGTCAGTTGTAATCCTTGTAATTTGTAACGGACTGTAATTACAGTCTTCGAATAAAGTTTTAAAAAAGTTTTTTTCACAGTTATCAACATGCATTTCCGTAGTTAACTTTTTCTTAGAGGAGCTAACTTGTGCTTAACATAATCCTTTATGAACTGATAAAAAATTTGCGTGAGAAGTGTGGAGTCAACCTATGTGACACCATTTTTTCGTAATCACATTTACATTTACCTACATTTTTCTCGGTTATAAATTACCTAATATTTTCGAGGCTGCCAAGAGTCTAAATTAAAGTTGAAATCTTCTCTGAAGGATATTTTAGGCTTATTTCAAGTTCTTTAATTATTAAAAACGCGCTACGGGTGTCCACCTCGGCGCGTCGCACCGCTCAGCTTTCGTACACTAGAGACAAATAGTTTGATGTTTTATTGAATTTAACATCTGCAGGCTACTTTTTGACCTGACCTCAAGAAATTTCAACCTAAGGTAAGGTGGGGTAAGTATTAAAATTGTGAAAGTTCGCATGAATCATATGTTTCTAAAAACAGATTTACGTTTTAGGTTTACACAATCTGAGTAATCTGATTAAGGTACTATTTTGCTATTTTTACGGCTGAGAAATCATAAAATTATATTTCCAGAATTTATTATAATTATTTTTTTAAAACAATGACCATACTACACACTTACCCCTAATAATGGGGCAAGTTTGTATACAGTTGTGTGCAGCCATATAGAGTAAATGTTTTTCCGTCTGGGGCAAGAGTGTAAAACTGCCTACTTTTTTATATATTTTGCTGCCATCAAACTCTTTTAGAAAAAAATACTTAAGGCTATGTGAACTTTTTATTAAACTATTCTTATAAAAATATATCATTTAGAAAACATTGTAATGTGCAAAAGAAACTCCAAAACGATAAAGGCCTCTTTTCGCAACAGTGGAGGTGGAAGTAACATTACGATGTCGTTTCTGGGAACGACTGCAATATCTGCCCAGATAAAACTATTCGGAACAGAAGGATTTAAATTAGGGAATCTTCTGGTAAATTTAACTTCTACGTCTTGACTTTCGTCAGTCGATATAACTTATCCCACGTAATATCGTCGAGTTTTTTTGGTTTCAAAAACCACAAGAATCCAATCCTTGGCAGATATACTGGATATATCTTTATCGATTTCTTCAACATATTTTGCAAGTCTTCTCTAAATTCTTCTTCTATATCATCATCGCTCTCATTGTAAACTATTTCTTCGTCCGTTGAGCTCTCCGATTCTATGAAAGTTCTACTCTTTTTTGATTGAACTTTTGGTTTATTGCTGTTTTCGTTCAAGCGTGGCATAGCTACTGAAGATGTAATAGGTACTACACACATGCCCCAAGAAAATAATACACACTTTCCCCTCCTGCTATTTTTAGTGGGGCAAGTGTTCAGTATAACGTATTTTTTTAAAAATCAACGATATGTAAAATATTCTACGAATGACAAGAAAATATTACTAAAGCTTACCTGTTTTTAAAAAAATATATTTTAAAGGTATCACTTATACCACTGTGTCGCTAGATTTCGAAAAGCCTGCGTACTCGTGTTAAATCGCCACACGACTGATGCAACCATATCACCGGTTTCTACGAAAATTTTGAATAAAGCGCGACATCTATTAATGAATTACTGTATAATGAGACCTTCTTAGAGCACCGTATAAAAGGCAACTTCTTACAATAACAGAACTAGATTTTATTGGATGTCTACACTCTTGCCCCAGATACACACTTACCCCACTTTACCTTACTCGAAATTATTTGAAGATTAAAAGTTCATGTCCGGATACGTACAGAAGATCGAAGACGTTCTAAGTTGCGGATGTGCCACGAAAGTCTGCAGAAAATAGAAAAGCTCAGAAATAAGACCTTAAATATCAGATTTGTTAATATTCGCCGGGTGCAACGTGCATAGTGGGGGTAACTACTACACGGTGTATAAAAACGACATCAGACAGATGGTGGAATAGATTCGCGGTCTCTATGGCGAGATCTATGTCATGTGGGGTAAACCCAGACCTGACAAAGCTGCCACTTATTCTTAACCTCAAATCGACTGAATGTCTGTGAGTTTTCGCTAGGTGGCGCTATCATCGCGCTACCAGCCAATATTATAATTGGCATGAAAGCCTGGTTGTCTAGCCACTACGCCAAATGTACGTCGATTACACTTTATTCCCAGTTTTATTGAAAAGATTTAAAATATAAAATCTGTCCGAACTTTTGAGAAAAACCTCTTAGTTTGAGAGTGTTGGGGGTAAAAGAAAAATGAACCAAATGGTAAACAAGCAAAATCACTTTTTAAGGTCTGCCAACGTTGACTGATCGATTCTGGGGACGGTTTAAAATTATGTGTGCAACATTATTGACAGCAATTGAAAAGTGAGGCGTGACACTGTAGTTTTTTTAACTAGACGATACCATACGAATTCAAAAATGATCTCTTATATAAACAATCATTTCTGAAGCTCATTAATCTGTCAATACATCAATGGTATATGTTCTTGAACCACCGCCCGGTTTTATCTCTTTCGAATTGAAATTACTAAGCTCAACATTCTCTTCGGAAAAATCCAGGTTTATAAGCATTATAGGGAGTTCTAACAGTAGAGTCCTAAAGGGGATTTTTGGGTTTACTCAAGCTCAAGATTAACATAAGTACATAAGGAAGGAGGATACCTTGCACCCTGTTGAGTGCCTTTACCATAGGCAGAGAAATGCATATACCACTGGGGTCGTGATGTGTACGAGAGAGACGTTTTACATTTCTGACAACCTGTAGACGCTCTTCTAAAAGCCTATATATTATATAACCTTTTTTTTCTTTCAGTCACGTAATCTTCAAAACCCACTAGGTCCCACGATACTCCAGTAACTCCAACTTTTGTCTCTTGCGACTACAAACTACTACATATACTTCTATTCCAGCGCTTTCTCAAACAAAGAAGTCTCGACAAACCTGAGGCCAAAAATAAGCATGCATGTAACATGCATACCTGTTATAACAACTGGCTCCTTTACGGCGTCCATTTACCTGTGTAAACATTATCATTAACCAATCAGCAGCGGTGCTAAATATGTGTGAGAGCTTGATAAACATCGGACCGAGTTTCGCGTATACATAGCCGCGGGCTACTTTGTGATTTTTATAGACTGTAGACTACCTTGGGCACTTATGCTGCGCCCACTCTTAGCATCATTGTAAACTGCAATACGTCTAAATGTGAAGAATAAACATTGGCAGAAAGGCTGTTCAGTTTTTTTTTGTGTTTTATATTCATAATATAAGTGTGAGGTCCGAGTAAGACCTTGAAGAGGTCTAGAAGGCAGCGGTCTTAAAAAAATAAAATTTGTGCTGTGAAATGCACAGTTGTACATAGAAAACGTTGTACCCATCTGAGAAAGTTTGTAGATCGAGTCCTTTATACTCATGATTATTGGATGCCCCTTGATATGAATCAACAGTTAGCAAAATCAACCAAATTACAAAAAAAAATTTTCTATGCTTCAAACAGGTTTTTTCAGATATTTCTAGACCATTCTGACTAATTCAGCGTATGATCAATATATTGAAAATATCCAGAATTCTTCAACAATTAACCACAATGCTTTTTGGTCATACGTTCACTCCAAAAACAACACATCACGAATCCCAGGGATAATGAAATTTCAAAATAATTCTATAGATCAGCCTCAGGATATAGTAAACGCATTCAGTGAGTTTTTCAGCAGCGTCTATGTCACTCACAAGCCTCATAATAATGCCTCACTAAATCATAGTAATTTATTTGTCCATTTTCATCCAATTGTGGAAAATGAAGTCAGGAAGGCCATTAAATCACTAAAGGATAAGATGACATCTGGTCTAGATGGCATCCCGTCCTTTATAGTCAAAGATTGTGTGGAAGTGTTTGTTGGTGTTCTAACTAGGATTTTTAATATTTGTCTTATAACAGAAATATTTCCAGACATTTGGAAGATCGCTAAGGTCTGTCCAGTGTTTAAGTGTGGGGATAAGTCAAATATTGAGAATTACAGGGCAATCTCTATATTATGCATACTATGCAGTACCTCTCGGAAGCCATTGATAGTAATGAGCAAGTTGACGTTATTTATACCGACTTTCCGAAGGCTTTCGATAAAATTAACCACAAAACTTTATTAAATAAGTTAGGTGCACTTGGTTTCACAGATGATGCTAGGGAGTTGATCAAATCTTACTTATCCGATCGTAGACAATTTGTTAGCTATAATGGCTTCAAATCTGAGACCTACGTGGCACCTTCTGGAGTTCCTCAGGGGTCCAACCTGGGACCATTACTGTTTTTGATATTTATTAATGACCTCTGTGACTCAGTTGAATGTGAAAGCCTATGCTTTGCTGACGACCTAAAAATTTATTCGCAGATAAATACTCCTGATGATTGTATCAAGCTACAACACCAATTAAATTTTGTGCTGTCTTGGTGTGTAGAAAATAAGTTGGCGCTTAATGTGAGGAAGTGTGAAATAGTCAGCTATACCAGGAAAATTAATGTTTGCGAATATCCGTACTCTATTGATGGGTCTGTACTAGAAAGATTCTCTGATGTACGTGATTTAGGTATAATCTATGATCAAAAGTTAACTTTTAGTGAGCATATAAATAAAAAAGCATCAGAAGCATTGGCGGCTTATGGTTTCATAGTAAGGAATTGCAGGAATTTTCATAACATAAAGTCTATTATATTATGCTTATGTTAGGTCCAAAGTCGAATATTGTAGTATTATTTGGAGCCCTTACTATGAATGCTATAGCACAGCTATTGAAAGAGTACAACGGAAGTTTATGAAGTTTGTTCTGTTTAGGATTGATGGGACATATCCAGAGAGAGGTACAAGTAATGAGGAACTATGTAGTCGCTTAGACATGTTGACTTTGAAAAAACGTAGGTACTGTGCCTCAATAATATTTGGCTACAAGATGACCAACAATTTAATTGATTGCCCCTTGATCCTGGAACAGATCAAGTTTCGTACTCCAACGTTTGCATCTCGCAATCATAAAATATTCGGGCTTCCTAGAGCTAGGACAAACATTCTTCTCAAGTCTCCGTTATATGTAATGTGCTCTAACTTAAACCGAATTGGATGTTACTGTAATATATTTACGACAAATGTTAATTACCTGCTAAAGGCAGCTAAGGCTTATTCGGACCAATAGCTCATCTTACAAACTTTATACCTGTGTTGCATTTGTTGTTTTCTTTTCGCTTTTTTTTTGCTTTTGTATTATGTTTATAAATTGTCCTATAAATGGGAAACTGTTGGACAATAAAAGCTATTATTACTATTATTATGAAAAGAAATCCGTAGTTACTTGTTTCTAAAGTTGACCATTCTCTAGTTATATGTGATGGTTTAAACTCCCCCTAAAAACGATGAGATAGCCGTTTATCACTGAATTCACTGAATCAGTGATGGATCGGTCCTTCAGGAACCAGGTTAGGACGGGGTTCGCAGGGTATTTGAGGTTACGAAAAATTTGAATTTCATGCTAACAATCCAAATTTCTTTAAACCCGTAGCTACAAATACAAGTAGACGGGTCATGTCAAAAAGAGAATAGATGAAAAATGAATAAAAACGCAATACCGTCAATACCATTTAACATGAAGACAAGCAAAATCATCCAAAATAGACATCGGAAAAAACAGAAACATGAAATGCATAAAACACAATATCATTCAATATAAAGACAGACAATCAATTAATTCCTCAGTGCTATATGGCGAGACATCCATAAACAGTTTTTTTAACATGGTTTTAAAATATATCAAGCAAGTATTTTTTGATGTCGTACGAAGGAAGTTAAACATCGTGCAACAGGAGCCTTCCTGTAAAAGGTGCGATTGTAGCGTTTTAAGCAGATTTCACTGCGTCCACGAATTAAATAACTGGGATTGAAGTTGTTGGTGTCGAACTCACTTTTTCTGAACATAGTGAATACATTCTTATGTTTAAATAGTGTGCGACATAATTCTTGATATCCGACAAAAAAAAGGTAAGCACCTACGTTTTTTTATTAGAATTCAAGGATTTTTACATATCGATTTATCTTGCCATGAACAAGTGACAAAATGGCCAGGTTTTTCTGGTGACTGCGTGTATTGTTTGGTGATAAAGAAACATTCAGTTTTCGTTCATTTAAGGTATCAGTTAAATGTTAAATTTCGTGTAGCTTATTCAGAAGACTTTTTGTGATTGGTGCGTAGAATTCGCCCGGTGTCCCACCTAAGTGACTTTGAGACGGGTCGAATTGTCGGGTTGCGTGAAGCCGTTCTATCGATAAGAG